ATGTTATGCAGTGTTTCACAGATTCTGTATTATTCTTTAGTGTCATGTAGTATTCCATTGTGTGTATACACCATAGTTGGGTTATGCTTCTTCTGCTCATAGGCACTTAGGTTGTTTCCATCTCTTTGGTATTGTGAATAGTGCTGCAATGAACATGGGTATGCATATATCTGTTCTTGTCCTGGCTCTCACTTCTTTAGGATATATACCTGGTAATGGGATTGCTGGATCACATGGTATGTCTAATTCCAACTTTTTAAGGAGTTGCCATATTGCTTTCCACAGTGGTTGTATCATTTTACATTCCCTTCAGCAGTGTATGAGAGTCCCAATCCATCTCTCCACATCCTTACCACCATTTGTTATTTTCTGTCTTGTTGAACTTTGCCATTAGTGTGGGGGTGAGATGGTATCTCATTGTTGTTTTGATTTACATCTCTCTAATTGGAGCTCTGGTAGCATAGTGGCTAAGGCACTTGACTGCTATCCAGAAGGCTGGCGGTTCAAACCCACCAGCCACTCCTCGGAAGGAAGGTTGGGCATTCCTACTTCCATAGTGATACTGCCTAGGAAACCCAAGGAGGGGTCGCTATGAGTCGGGGCCGACTCGATGGCAAACAACAACAACAACAACAATTGCTAATGATTGTGAACATTTCTTCATGTGTTTCTTGGCCACCTGAATATCTTCTTTGGTGAAGTGTCTATTCATATCCTCTGCCCATTTTTTAATTGGATTGTTTGTCTTTTGGATTTTGGGGTGTTGGAGTTCTCTATAAATTTTAGAGATAAGCCTTTTGTCAGGTATGTCATTGCTGAATATTTTTCCTAATCTATAGGTTCTCTTTTTATTCTTTAGGAGAAGTCTTTTGAAAGAGCATTCTTTTATGTATTATCAAAATCTGGAAATTTAACAATGATACAATACTATTATGTAATCCAAAGTCCTTATTTGAACATCATTAATTTTGTCCCAATTATATTTTTTATAGTATATATGTGTATATATTCATTGTCCAGCTCTCACATGTATATAAGGCTGTTGAAAATGCCATGGCTTTAGTCAGACACACCTTAGTCTTCAAACTGACATCTTTGCTGTTTAACGTTTTAAAGAGAACTTTTGCAGCAGATTTGCCCCTTGCAATACATCATTTCATTTCTCGAGTGCTGCTTCCATAGCATTGATTATGATAAGAAAGACCACAAAAAAATGGATGCATTTGAATTGTGGTGTTGGTGAAGAATAGAAAAAAAAAATTTGTCTTGGAGAAAGTACACCTGGAATTCTCCAACGAGAATGCCCAGATTTCATCTCTCTTACTTTGGTTATGTTGTCAGAAGGGACTAGTCCCTGGGAAAGGATATCATGCTTGGTAAGGTAGAGGGTCAGTGAAAAAAGGGAAGACCCTCAACAAGACACAGCAGCTGTGATTATGGGCTCAAGCATGGCAACAATTATAAGGATGGCGTAGGACTGGGCAATATTTTATTCTGTTATACATAGGGTCGCTATGAATCAGAACCATGTCGATGGCACCTAACATGTGTGTGTGTGTGTGTGTGTGTGTACATGTTGTTAGGTGCTGTCGAGTTGTTTGCAATTCATATATATATATATATGGGAGCTCTGGTAGCATAGTGGCTAAGACACTTGCCTGCTAACCAGACGGCTGGCGGTTCAAACCCACCAGCCACTCCTCGGAAGGAAGGTTGGGCAATCCTACTTCCGTAGTGATACTGCCTCGGAAACCCAAGGAGGGGTCGCTATGAGTCAGGGCTGACTCGACGGCACATAACAACAACAACAACAACATATCCATCCTTACCCGCTCATCTATCAGTTTGTCATACTGCGGTGGTTTGCATGTTGCTGTGAAGCTGGAAGCTATGCCACCGGTATTTCAAATATCAGCAGGGTCACTCACACTGGACAGATTTCAGTGGAGTTTCTAGACCAAGACAGACTAAGAAGAAAACAGACTAGGAAGGATGTGGCCAGGTCCACTTCTGAAAATTTGTCTACTGAAAGCCTTACGAATAACAGTGAAATATTGTCTGATATAGTGCCAGAAGATAAGTCTCTCAGGTTGGAAGGTGCTTAAAATATGACTGGGGAAAAGCTGTTTCTTCCAAATAGAGTGAACTTAATGATGTGGATGGAGTAAAGCTTTCAGGACCTTCTTTGGCTGATGTGGATGTGGCATGACTCAAAATAAGAAGAAATAGCTGCAAACATCCATTAATAATCAGAACATTATGTATATATATGTATGTATTTATATCTCCAGGAGCCAATCTAGGATCATGTATTGCATTTAGTTATTAGATCTCTTTAATCTTCTTTAATCTAAAAGAATTCCTCAGTCTTCAGTATGTTTTTTTGTTTGTTTGCTTTTCCTTTACCTCGGTATTTGTGTGTGTGTGTGTGTTTGGGAACAGAGGGGCTTTCATGGCTACTTTTATACACATCTCTTAATTTTAGAACAATAGCAACAAAGAGTTAGTACTTTTATTCTGAAAAAGGGAAGTCATTCCAGTTATAAGGACAGAACACTGGCATTTTCACAATTGAAATTGAATCTTTATTTTCTTAAAGAAGTATAGTCCCTTGATTAACTTATTCCACAAATATTTATTGAGCACCTGTCAGTTGTCAGGCACTGTTGCAAGCACTTGAGAAAGTTATTTTCTTGTAGGAGGAGACAGATAATAAACAATAAACATAAGAAATAAGTAACATATATTATTTTAAAAGGTGATAAGTACCTTCTGAGGTGATATGGGCTGTAGGAAAAAGAAAAATTGTCCCCAGAACAACTTAAGAGGGAACAGAAGGGTCAGGGGGTAGAGGTAGCAATTTAAAAAAGGATGGGTAGGACCAATGAGAGGGAGACTTCTGAGCAAAGACTTGGGAGGAGGTAAGGGAGTTAGCTAGATACCCCTAGCAGGTGAGCATTCCAGACAGAGGAAATAGAGCAGAGGCCTGTGTCTAATTTACTGGGTCTGGAATAGTAAAAGCTGATGGGACTGGAATACAGTGAATATAGGGGTCAGGGAGGTATACAAGATGAAGTCAGAGAGATAATGGGGGAGGCAGGTCAGAGTAGCATAGTGCCTAAGGCACTTGACTGGTAACCAGAAGGCTGGTGGTTCAAGCCCACCAAGCACTCCTTGGAAGGAAGGTTGGGCAATCTACTTCTGTAGTGATACTGCCTGGGAAACCCAAGGAGGGGTTGCTATGAGTCAGGGCCAACTCGACGGCACATAACAACAAACAACTGATGATACGGGGAAGCATGGTAAAGTTGAGAGTAGGTGATCTGATTATCTTCGTAAAAGGATAACTCTAGCTGTTATTATTGAGAATAGACTGCAGGTGGCAAGGATAGAAGTTAGGAAATGATGGATCTAATCCAGAAGAAAAATTGTGGTGGATTAAACCATGTTAATACCAGCAAATAATAACAGCAAAGTTGGTGAGATTCTGGATATATTTTGAAGGCAGATCCAATAGGATGTCCAGATGGATTAGCCATAGGATGTAAGAGAAAGAGTGGCCAAGGAAGTCTCCAAGCTTTTCCTTTTGAGCAATGGAAATGATGGAGATGCACTCAGCCAAGATGGAAAAGGCTATAGGTGGGGCAGATTGGGAAGGAAATCAAGAGTTCACTTTTGGATATCTTGATCAGTATTTTACTTTCTAGGACCACTGTAACAGAATAGCACATGCTGGGTGGCTTAAAGTATCAGAAATTTATTCTCTTACAGTTCTAGATGTTGGAAGTCCAAAATAAAGGTGTGGGCAGGGCCATATTTTGTTGGAAAGCTCTAGGGAAGAATTGTTCTTTGCCTCTATCTAGTTTCTGGTAATCCTTGGCATTCTTTGGTTTGCAGTCGCATCACTCCAATCTCTGCCTCTGTTGCTGCCTAGGCATCTTGTCCTGTGTGTGTCTGTGTCTCCAAGTTTCTATCTCTCTCTAAGGATACCAGGCATTGAATTTGGGGCCTATGCTAATCCAGTATGGCCTCATCTTAACTTGATTACATCTGTAAAGACTCCACTTCCACATAAAGTCACATTCACAGGTTCTGGGTAGATATAAATTTTGGGAGGATATTATCCAATCCAGTATAATCAAACAAATCTTCATTTGCTTATATAGCAAATATTAAAAAAAAAAAAAAAAAAAAAAAAAAAAAAAAAAAAAACTTGCATATTTGTAGCTCTTCATGCCCACCAAAACCAACCCACCGCCATTGAGTTTCATAGCAATCTTACAGGATAGGGTGGAACTATCCTGAGGGTTTTCAAGGCTGTAAATCTTTACAGAAGCAGACTGCATCATCTTTCTCCTGCAGAGCAGCTAGTAGGTTCAAACCATCAACATTTTGGTTAGCAGCCAAATGCTTTAACCACTGTGCCACCAGAACTCCTTAGCTATTCTTAAGGAGTGTGCATATATATGTGTATAGATGTATGTGAAATCCTTTTACGAGTTTATCAGAATATTGAGGTTGGAGATGGCGTTGAAGAAGCATCCCTTTTTCTTTGGGTCCCTTATCTGCATCACAGCACAATAGCTGTGGCTACACTCCTTTGTGATTTGGACAAAAAAGAAGACAAAAATGAATTTAAACACTCTATCCTCCTACAAAAACCCTATGGAGCGGTTCTACGCTGTCTTACAGGGTTGCTCTAAGTCAGAAATGACTCCACGGCACACAGCATCGACAACAATCTTCCCACAAAGTTAAATTTGGAAATTTGACAAAAGCATTTAAATACTGTGTTCTAAAATACTCCTAAAGAAAACTAAAATGTTCCAGGGAACAGAAAATATGTAAATGTGCTGTCACTGAGAATACAGTTTGACCCAAGATTGCTCTCTCTTTATTTCTATTATAATGGATGGGATCTGTAGCCCATAGTTTATGGGAATTCTCTGGGTTGGATAACCTATCAATGATCTTATAACATTACTTTCTCTCACATTCAGATTTTAAAAACAAAGTTGGCGATAAGTAGAACTGGAGAGTACTCTGGGTTTTGGATTGTGCCAGGAAGATTTGGAAGAATGAAAGGGTTAGAGGCTTTTACAAAGGCTTTATTCCTAATTTTCTGATTGTCATACCATATGCAGGCATAGATATTACTGTTTATGAGCTGAGTTTGTTTCCATAATGAACTTACATCTGATTTATTGTATTTCAATATATAATACATTAATTTTTTTTTTTTTTAAATGAAATCATAGATTTTAGGCAGAGTTAAAAGAAAACACATTTTTCACAGTCTGTTTTGCTGAGTCTTCTTCCTCAGGAGTACATGTTGGTTCTCTAAGGGCCTCTTCTCTCCCGATGCACAGCCCACCCTCTTTTGGTGACTCCATCTAGGTTTCAATAAAGTTAGTGTGCCAGCTGCTCCCAGGGTTGGTTTTTGACCTCTTTGCTGATCACCAAGGAGACTGGATGACATAGTTTTCCCTTCCAGTTTTTCCTAGTGTCAGAAGTCTGATTTGGCTCATGTTCCTTTTGTTCTGGGTTTTCATGTGAATAATTTCTGGTAATAATAATTATCTTCTCCAAATCAATTATAGCCATTGGGTCTTAAAAAATGGGAACAATGTAGGTTGTTTTTTGTTTTTGTAGGGAGAGGGAGGAGTGTAAAATAATGACCTATTTTTTAAGTTAGCCATGTCCAGTTTCACTTTGGTCACTCTCTGTCTGATTTTGACAGACCATTGAATGTGACCTTGCTTAACCAACTCCTTCCTCTTCTGTGATCCTGAGTATCTTCCACACCCATCAGACTTATTATTATATTTTATTTATTTTTTGATGAACATATACATATCAAAACATGTTCCCTTTTAACATCTTCTACACAAACTGTTCAGTGACATTCGTTACATTCTTGTGCCAACTTTCTCATTATTTCTGCTCTGTTGTTGTTGTTGTTACGTACTGTTGAGTCTGACCCGACTCATAGCGACCCCCCTCTTGAGTTTCCAAGGTGATATCACTACCAAAGTAGATTGCCCAACCTTCCTTCTGAGGAGTGGCTGGTGGGTTTGAACCGCCAGCCTTCTGGTTAGCAGTCAAATGCCTTAGGCACTATGCTA